TGTTCCCGAGGCAGCCTGTGAAGAGACGAGCAGGGTCAGGTTCAGGAGGTGCTTGCTTGCCTTGACACATCATTCCTAATTACAATGCCTTTATAAACCCCTTCTCTTTAGCTTCATAAGGCTTGTAAAAGGCGCCCACAAACTTCTGCCTTCCTGTGCCTCCCTGCCCTGCGGTAGAAATCCTCTTCTTGCAGGAAGTGCAGAGCAAAGTTCAAAGCCTTCTCCATCAAAAGAAAGTGCGCCTGATCCAGTATAATGTGATTATATGACAGCTAAGGGGGGAAAAAATGCCAGGGCCACTGTATCACTGGCCAGTGCTGGTCCCTTGCAATCTCCACCTTTCTAAAAGATATTTATAATTTCCTTGCTCAGTATAAAGACCCACACGGAAACTGAACACCGTTTAGGATCGAAGCCACTGGCAGCTTTGGGCTACCTGGGGATGGCACGTTATAAAGAAGTTGTGATGGAATGTCCCCACGAAATGCAGAGGCTAAGGGATCAGGCTTCAGGGAGAGAGGATAAAGAAAGGAAGCTAGGGGTCCACAGACCCCAGGGCAGGCCCTGTCGCCCTGGCGATTTTCTGTATGACTGCCAGGCTTGTTTCCTTGCTATAAAACAAGCCCAGTTCAACCTATGTTTTGTAAAAGAGGGTTAAAAGGGCTCATAAATCTTTCTGGGCATTGAAGATCCACGGAAAACTCAGCCTGATGTCTTTCACATCTGTTTCGGGTTCTCAGCCTCATCTGGCTCAGCTGCCTTCTCTCCAGCGATAACTCACAAGTCCCATTCAGGCCGCTGAGTGGCAGGTATAGGGTGTCTCCCCCGGAGCACAGGGGATGAGGGGTGAGCGGCCGGGCAGCAGGCAAGTCCCCAAGGCTGGCCCACTGACACCGCGAGTGTAGACGCAGGAGCTGGCGGAGGGAAGGTGGTGGGCCGGACGGGGTCACCAGGCAGCACACCCCGCCTGCAGAGGGGAGCCCAGCGGCGGGTGGGAGAGCGCTGGCTGAGGTTGGTCACACGGAGATTGAATTTCAGCTGAATTAGATCAGAGCTGTGGGAAACAGCACCTCCTTCACACACACGCAGCCGGGCTCCTAGGAAGATGTGGGAGGGCGGCCGGGGGACGGAGGCAGGCAGCTGCCACGAAATACCCAAGTCAGCTCCCAGCGGCCAAGGGCCAACTGAATGACTGTCTACGCAGAGCGCCCCGGGGCTCGGCCGACTCCGGGCGCGGGGGGGGGGGGGGGGGCGGGGGGGGGCTAGCACCCCGGGGGGTCAGGGCGAGATGGGGGCGGTCAGCATTTAAAACACACCCTGGCTGGCGAGTGAGTCTGCGCGTGTCCTTCAAGCAGGACAAGCATTCTTGTGAATAAAAGTATGGGAAAGGCACGGAACTTTCAGGTCCACAGCTGCAGAGGCATTTTGGTGGCTTTCGCGGCTACCTTTAGGGTTTGATGTTTTACAGCATGCCATTAACATGCGACCTGAGCTCTCAGGGCGCGGGGTCTGCCTTAGGAACTGTTCCTCTCCTCTCCTTCCTGCCGCCATGGCAGTGACCCAGGATACCCGCTTTTCTTGGGCAGGTCCCGGAGGACTGGAGAACTGGGGAAGAGTGTTAGAAGCGAAACGGGAACACTTGCAGCCTATTAAAAAGGGCAAGAAGTCAGCTGCTTTGAAATCCAGCCCCTCAGCAGGGGTGGGGGAAGCCTTTCCAGGAGACAGTGGGAACACATTTGTTCCTAAGCTGGCACCAGAGGGGCTCTTCTCCCCGGCGGCAAGGGCCTGGCATTCTGTGCACTCCGTTTGAATCCGGGAGCCTTCAAATGATCCTTTTTTCTCTTCCTGTCACTCAGCAAGAGGCTGGAGGCAAAAATTCCTCCAGCCGCTTCCCTTGAACCAGACAGAAAACAACCCCGAGGCTGCCCAAGGGCGCCTGATCTTTGGGTTTGCACATCCATTTCCAGCGGGGACTGCTGTGACCAGAAAATGGCCTCAGGCAACTGCTCACTAAAGGTCCTCCTTGACCTCGAGGCAGTGTGCTTTCTGCACAAGGCGCCTTTTCTTGGACCCAGAAGCTTCTGGAGTTGGTGCAATGGCTCTGGGCCTGAGGAAACCAGCCAGGACGTCCCCAGCAAGATGAATTATCACCCCTCTGTAAAAGAGAGAGAGAGACACCCAGAACAGAGACAGTCTAGCCCGCAGGAGCCCACTCCCTGTTTGAATTCTTAGAGGCTCACCACTTTGGTGGATCTCTTGGAATTCACAAAAAAGAGACAGTTGGAACCCTGAGACCTCAGATGCTGTTTGGGATTCTCCTAGATGAGGCGGATACCCAAAAAGGGACATGGAAGGACTGCAGGGAGTCTGTGAAGCATCTCAAATGGTATTAAAAATTTCTATGTAAAAACGTTATGTATTTTCCACAGACCCAGGAAGAGAGCTCTAGGTATTCCACAGATTTTCGAGGGTCCAAGACTCCCCAAGAGTTAAGAACTACTGTTTTAAAGATTTCCAAAGGTGCTTTTATTGGGGGTGAGGTGGGGAGGGCCTTGGCTTCCCTCAACCACAGGCCCTGTGAAGTCAAATGCCTTGTATTCTGTCTACTGTGATGATAATGCACCCTGGGTGTTTGATTCATGCAGCTGAGCGCAAACAGGAACACAGAGAGGACACACGGAAGCGGGGCGGGGGGTGCCCACACAGAGGTGCTTGCCCCAAGTACCCGCGGTGCAGTAGGGATCTCCCTGGGGCGGGTCTAGCCAGTCCATACCCCGGTCCCAGAAGATATACTCCCAAGGTCCTGTTCTAGGAGAACATATTAACACAGAGAGAACGCATAAACGAGAACCTGAAGGATCGAACAACCTAGTGCAGACTTGACAAACCACTTGGATAAGGAAGTTAGAAAAAGCAGGATTTGGATCCGTCACTTGGGAAGAGGGTGCACTGGCCTGCCACACTCCTTTCCTGTCACTCAGCAAGAGGCTGGAGGCAGGGAAGGGCAGGGAAGGACTCTTGGCGGAGAGGGGGTTGTCTTAATACATCTTGAAAAATGACCAGGTTGCCAGAATTTCACAGTCCTCCACTCTGGATCTGATGTTTCTTGCAAATTATAGGCATGTTTTGCCTTAAGAAAATTCCATTTTTTTATAAATAAGCTGATTCCTCAAAAGCAGATAAATTGGGGCTGGTGATTATTGACATTCAATAAAAGATACTGTTGATGCCAGGCTCTTGTGCAAAAGCCTTTACATACATCATCTCAAGTAATCTTACATCTCAGTGGGAGATGTACCGTTTCTCCCATTTTCCGGATGAGGAACTGAAGGCTGAGAAAGCTTGAGCAGCTTTCTTGCCATTACTGCTTTACTGAGTGGCAGAGAGAACTGGTGAGGAAAGCCAGATGAGGCTTTCGCCGAAGAGCGTGGTTTTATATTCTCCGCTAGACAGCTTCTCAGTGCAGTAAGATTCGATGGTTGGCCAGAAATGTCAACACCCCAAATTCATCTTAGACATGACTTGAATTTCAAAGGTAGGGAAAAAAAAAAAAAGGATGTTTACAGAGTACCTACTATATTCTAGATACAATGCCACTGGATGCAAGTTTCTCATTTTGTCAAAAATTTAATTTTATAAAAAAAAATTCAATTCTTGTGAAATATTTTCAACAGTACATTTTTCATTTAAAGTTAGGTACATACATGCAGATCGTCTCCCACCAGGAAATCATCAACTAGTCAAAACGTTCCCAGGGCACAGGGCAGATTGTGCTTAGTGTTTTATCCCTTTTGCCTAGTTGAATGTCTGCCCTAGGCCAATAAATAATTGCTGAATGAATAAGTGAGTATGAGAATGAATCTATTTTAAGGACAGTGATCAGAAAGTCTTATTCCTGAAAATGGAAACAGATCGCCTTGGGCAGCAGACATCAAGATATGGGTATAGCTCATTATACGCCCCAAGCGAGTTCACATGAGGGAGGTGAAGAAAGGTGAGAGAGGAAAATGAGAGGATATGGAGAGCTCCGTTTTGAAACTTGAGAAATGCAGGGATTCTTTGCTTAAAGACAGAGGCTTGGTGCAGATGCTATCCTAAGACTGCTTATAGGTCTCTGGTGTGGTCAGAGTTCGTGGAGGGTAAAGTCATATAAAAAGTTAGCTGCTCCCTATGTTTTTAGCTCTATCTCTGGTTGCCCTTGTATCTTCACGCCAATGGCTGACCCCTGTAGCGTCTGGAGGAGGCAATAATCATCAGGCTCGGGCCTTTTCAGTTTGCTTATCTCACTGCCTGCTCCACATGTTACAATTAAGTGTCCCAATTAGGTTGTTCCAGGCGTCCTGCCTCCCTCCCTCCCTCCCTTCCTTCCTTCCTTCCTTCCTTGCTTCTTTTTCTCCATCAACTTACTCACTAATTCATGCGTTCATTTAACAAACATTGATCGAGTCTCTCCTATGGCTTCATAGCAGCCTCCATCTGGCGGGATGGAACACACAAGCACTTCGAGTCCGGTGTGCTTTGGAGAAGTAGAATTATGCACAGCTGTTCGTCTAGCAGAGCTGACGGAGGGGCACCCAACTGCTGGTGTTCAAGGGTAAGGAGATTTTTCCCAGAGGAAGTGAGCTTGAGCTGAACCTTGAAGGATACAGGAAAATTTGCTGGGAACAAAAGACACACTAAGGTTACCAAGGCTGGTGGAATACCACATGTGCAAGCATGGAGGGGTTGTAGGGAGAGGGCAGGCAAGGGACATTGTGGCAGATGTCAAGAACGGAAGTCATCCTGCCTGGAGCCCAGGCTGCGTGTGGAGCCCTGATGGGAGATGAGGTCAGATAGGAATAACAATTGCCAGCATTTATTGAGCACCTGCTCTTTTCCAGGCACTGTTCTAACCGCTTTATATGTTTTGACTTGATCATTACAGTTGCCCTATGAGGTGAGTATTGATACGGCTCTTATTTAACAGATTTACAGGGAGATCAAGTATCTTGCCAAAGAGCATACAACTAGACAGTGGAGGCCAATATTCAACCCAGACAGTTTGACTCCAGAGCTGGTGCTCTTAATGGTTATGGCAGGCTGCTTTGACAGCCTTCGATTGGCTTTGACAAGCGACAGCATAGAGTCTTTCCTACCTATGGGTCCAGTGGAAGGTGGAAGGTACCATGAGTGTGAAGATAGTTTTCTCATACCAGTGTCTCCTTCCTTAGACCAAAGGGAGTGAAGCTGCACACGCTGTTCTCATATCAGAACGCCAATGCTGAGGGTAGAGACCAAGTCTGTTTGACTCATCAATGTGTGTTCGGTTACAAGCACTGCGCGTGGCGTACTGTAAGTGCTCACCAGATACTTATGGAATGAAGGAAAAATGAATTTATTGATTTTTACTTATTAATCTTATGAGAAAGTATACTCAGGCTTCTTCAGGGTTATGCATATTTTCTCGTTTGAGATGTAAATGAACTTAACACAAGCAGTACATTCCACTAAAACCTTGTCACATATCTTATATGTATTTGGAAATCTGAACTCTTCAACCCCAAGTCAACATTTACAGAGGTTAACTTCTTTTAAAATGATTAATCATGGGTTGTGGGGTGTGAGTGGAAATTCATTTATATCATATGTATTTGTTTTATCGACTGTGGATATTCTTCAATTCACAGTTTGTTCAGACTTCTCTTCGTTAAATCGAAAGGAGGGCCCTGTGTGCCTATGATTTTCATAAAAATCTATGCTATTTCCTTTGAAGGTGATGAGAAGTTGACTGTGTTAGACTATGCAGCTCCTGAGAATTGGGTAAGCAATAGAATTAGGGTAGTGAGGTCCAGGGATGGAATTTGCCCTTTGACATTAATGCATTGATTGCTTCCTACTTCAGTGTCATAAATGAAATTTCTCTCTCCTTGGCAAGAAGAGTAGAGCCCGGTAGAAATCCCAAGAAGTGTGTTTTCTGTTTGGTCAGCAAGGCAGGCAGGGCCTTATGTATTCTGTCCGTCAACACTGATAAGCTGTGGCACCAGGGGGCTGGGAGGGTCTCCAGCTGTTCCACCTACGCTGGGCCCTGGAGTACCATGGTCTCTTTCCTGAAGCCAAGGGAGCCCAAACAGAGAGAGATGAGTGCCATGAACACAAATAATCTTCTACTCAAAGGGAGTTTCATGAATTATTTGGGTATCCGTATATTTTGAACTGCGGGAGACCTTCATGTTCTGGATTTCCTCCTTGTAGCTCAAGAGCACGTGTGCTTGTGATCTCAGTTGGCGCAACTTCTCTAGAAAAGCCTTCCTCAAGGGGCACCTGGGTGGCTCAGTCGTTAAGCGTCTGCCTTCGGCTCAGGTCATGATCCCAGGGTCCTGGGATCAGGCCGTGCATCGGGCTCCCTGCTCAGCGGGAAGCCTGCTTTTCCCTCTCCCACCCCCCCTGCTTGTGTTCCCTCTCTCACTGTGTCTCTCTCTGTCAAATAAATAAATAAAATCTTAAAAAAAAAAAAAAAAGAAAAGCCTTCCTCAAAAGGAGTAAGCCTTCTAACAAAACCAGTCAAAACTAGAACAAGATAACCATACTTGCTTTCTAAGAAATACTTTTCTTTGTTCTCTTCAGAGTATTTGTGGTTTCAGTAGTATTCAATGTATTGTATTCAATTGTGAAGAAATTAATTATTATAATTAACAAGATTTATGTGCTTTACAGTTTATAAATATACAAATGTCTATTACAAGATTTATATTGTTCCTTAGGCTCTCATCAACCCTCTCTGAAATGAGGAGAGATGTCATTATCCTCTTTTTATAGATGAGGAGACTGAAATTCAGGGAAGATGCCAGGCTAAGGGATTTGTCATTGAAAAGTAAAGCAGCCAGAACTTGAACCCAGTTCAGATTCTCTAGCCTGTCCGCCTCCTCTCCATTCTGTGGCTAAATCAGGTAGAGCAAGGAACTTGTGGCGACGTGTCCAGCATGGGCTAGGTCATTTCGCACATACTATTTTTCGTTTACAAACTGCAGGGTAGGGAACTAGTATTAAAGATAAATTAAGGTTTGAAGAGGACCACTAACTTATTAGATGCCTAGTAAAGGGCTGAGCCCTGTCAGTGAGAAAGAATTAGATCACTCTGGGAAGAGACGCGTTGTCAGGTTACTGAGATTTCTTGAGGGTGCAAAACCAGTCAGAGTATCTCACAAAAGGAAGCTCATTTGTAAAAGGAGAGTTTGGGAGGCTTGTTTGCTATTCTGAGGAATATTTTCTTTTCCTTTTCAGCAAATCTTTATCACGAACCGAATCTTTGCCCTGCCACCTGCAAACAGACTTTAGAACAATGAAAACCACCCTCTGCAGGATATTGATTCTGATGGAGCAAATGTTGATTAAGCAGAATGGTGGCTTTTTTTAACTGGAGGAATTCCAGATCTTTCCTTAGGCCTGTCTCTCCAGGGAAATGAGCTCTATCCTCAAAAATCTACAAAAAACCTGAGTAAGAATGCAGATTTACGATGGGAGACGCTAGGCGGAAGGCGGCTATCTGGTAAGCTATCTAGAAGCTCATCTTTGTGTTATTGGAGAAACACTCTCTCTCTTGACAGGATATAGTCTGGTTATCACATAATCTTCTCGGGTTTCATTCCCATTCTGCTTACAAATGCCCCAAATATAAAGAGATGCATTTCATTAAGACAGCCTTTTAAGAGGCAGTTTATCCCAGCTGTTGCAGTCTGTCTTAAACACCTACCTTTTCACCCTAGTGTGGAGTTTACATGTCGATAAGGGATGTAAAAAAGGGAACTTTAGAAATCTCGGCAAAGGAAAACCACCAAGGCTGCCTGTGGGAATTGGAGTCCGAATAAGAGCCCCCAGGAAGCCTTAAGTTCCAGAACACCCCTCCTCCTCAGAGAGGAGAGCTGGTATAATGCTTGCCTGCCTTGGGCTTTGGGCTGACCCCAAACACCAGGGACTGTAAACACTTTTGCCGTCACAGAAATGGAAGGATTCTGTGCCTGCTTGTTTGGCATTTTCCCAGCAGCAAAACAAGTGAAACGCACAGGTAGGAACGTGACAAACAGACCCCTATGGTTTCTGCTGCCTCAGGGATTCTCTCTGCTGGCATTGCCCATTCCCATCAAGGATGAATTCTCAATACCTGATCTCACTACGGGCATCTGCAGACCCTGTGGCCCTCCCGCCGGTCACTGGCCCAGTGGGATTTGCTGGCAAGTGACCTGTGAACGTTCTCTCACTCCTGGGTCTGCAAACAGTCAGAGGCTCTTGGAGGCTACTGAGATGAGTCTGAAAGACTTTCCTGGAGGGAGGGGGCAAGGTTAGAATGAAGTGTGAAATGGGGAAAACAGGAGGGGTGGTCCCAAAGCCCAGCCAGGGCCCAGGGGCGGGCGGAGCCCATTTTTGGGATGAGGCCCGTGGGGCTGCGGGCGGGGAGGTACTCTTGTTGGAGAGGAAAGAAACCTGGGACTCCAGCCTGCCTGGTCCTGCAAATGGGCTGCCTGTGTTTGAAGTCAAGACTGGCGGGGTTCCGGAAGCCGGCTGCATCAGGTTCCCATTAGCTCAGGCAGCGACACGGTGGGTTCACACCACGACATGGTAACAATTAAGCCTTCTGCCACTGGTCCTTACCCCGGGGTGAGGCTCTTTTCTTCCTTACCGATGTGACTTCAAGCCGCCCTGATTTCCTTATGGCTTGATTTCCTGCAGATTCCCATTACTTCATGTCTAATCTTCTGAGACCGCTTATTAGACCACACAAATTGTGACAATTGTCTCCAGCGCTCAGACCCTGGTCCAGACCTGCAGTAGACCCCGGTCCAGACCCCCAGTGTGCCTAGGAGAAATACAGTATCTGTATCTCTCTGAAATGTGAGAGCTACTTCCTACGTAAATCGTCGGATTACCAATAATCAGAGCCATAAATATTGGGGGAACATAAACTAATTATACATGTCTAGCCTGAGGCATGCTAAATTTCTTTCTTTAAAAAGGGTGGTTTAGAATAATTATCTCCAACTTCAATGCTGAGAGAGATAAGACACAAATGAATGGCTGTAATATGAAGCAGAAAATGAAAAAGATAGGAAGTTACGGTTTTTCCAAGGAAGGAAATACTTATATACAGAGAAGGTAATCGAAAATGCCATTTAAGCTGAATCTTGAAAAATAGGTAGAATTTGGATACATGGAAGTTGGTGGGAAGAAGAAAAGGGCATAAGCACGGACAGGTGCTAAAATAAATAAAATAAGTAAAATAAGACATAGTTCCTGCCTTCAAGAGGCTTTCAGTTCAGTTGAAATGATAAAACAGATATGGGTAAGAAAAGATTTAGAGGACAATATAAGACACAGCATGCTCAAATCACATCGGATATAGCTAATACTTAATTGTGGTATGGAAATGTTAAATGCTATTTCAAGTAAGGAAGTTGCCAAAGTTTGATGAGATAGCTGGGCCAGACTTGAGGAGGACTGGGATTTAAAACACTAGCAGGAAGGAAAAATGAGTGGAGTGAGCATCAGGTGGGCTGCGTGCTGAAGACGAGTCGTTCTCAAACTTCAGAGCATCAGAACCATCCAGGGGACTTGTCACAATACACGTCCCTGGGCGCCTCGCCAGCATTTCTGATTTAGTAGGTCTGCTGTGAGGTGTGGCAAGTTGTATTTCCAGCAAATTCCCTAGTGATGATGCTGATGCTCCTGGTCCGGGAAATGGCACTTTGAGAACTACGGCCGTGGCTCCATCAGCATGCCCAGAGCACTAGCATTTACTTGGGGAAACACTGGGAAGTCAGACTGGCCAGGGAAGCCTGCCGAGAAGTATTATAAATGAACATACTGTTAACTGTCTTTGTTTTCTTCACTGAGGAGTCTCCATCTGAGTAGAACAATGAACATTCTTGGGTTTGTTTTTTTTTCTTCTATTCTCAAATGGCTTCCTGGTTTAGAATAAATTATTGTGAAAGAAGAAAACAATGTTTTTATGACTCCAGTAGAAACTACTATGGTTAAAGCTGGATATCATTTCAAGAGATCGGTTCTGTCGATCCCTTCTACAAGCATATTTCTTAATAGCTTTGCCCTTGCGCTGTCTGTGATGGGATTCATGTTATGGACTTTTGTGTAGTGGATGGCCATCATCACAACCAATCCTCCTTAGAATCCAAGTATTAAAAACATTGACCAAAACTATTTTGCAAAATAATGTACTCTCTGATTGCTTTGATTCTCAAAGATCCACATCATTTATTGTCTCAAATACTATGTCAACAGAAGTTATAATCTGATCTTTTTGCTTTTGCATAATGAAATGAAAACTTACCACCATGGTTTCCCCTCATTTTTACAGAAAATAATTAAATCCAGTTAATGTGGAAAAAGGCCTCTACCTTTAAAAATATTTTAAAAATATCCTCATTCTGTCTGAAATGAAACAAATTGACAATCTTCTTTCTATTGTATGAGGTTATTTATGAGTTTCTCCTGGAGTTTGTAGTCTTGACTGAGGTGGGAATGGTTAGAGAGTAGAAAGTCTCTCCTACATATGTTCAAGATCAAGTTACATATGTTTAAAGATCAGGTTGTAGTGTGCTGGACTCTGCAGACAGAAATATGCAGTGTACTTTCCAAAATTCCTTTTAATCTTTTGACTTATTTAAGAGTGGTGTAGTATGCAAATGACAGTAATTAAACAACATTACAATACACACAGTTAATAGCATGATTCATATTTATGAAGTACTAATTTTATATGAATACCAAAAATATAAACTGATTATACTGTTCAGATTTTGAATTGAGCAAATAGACAAAAGAGCTAGGATGGGAGTTTATTTTATAACAGTGAACCACATTTATTATCATTTCTCATGATTTAATACATGAGGGATAACTAAGGTATGGAACTTTTAAGGTATTTCTTTATGTAGAAGGAAATGCCATACTTTCATGTAATTAGGGGCTAACGGTGTTCATTTCTTCCTAAAGCTTAGAAAAGGGAATTTTGTAGCACAGATAAGGGAGAGGTAAGCAGGGGCGCCTGGGTGGCTCAGTCGGTTAAGCGTCTGCCTTCGGCTCAGGTCATGATCTCAGGGTCCTGGGATCGAGCCCCGCATCAGGCTCCCTGCTCCGCGGGAAGCCTGCTTCTCCCTCTCCCACTCCCCCTACTTGTGTTCCCTCTCTCGCTGTGTCTCTCTCTGTCAAATAAATAAATAAAATCTTAAAAAAAAAAAAAAGAAAAAAGAGAGAGGTAAGTAGGGGCGCCTGACTGGTTCAGTTGATAGAACATGTGACTTGATCTGGTCTGAGGGTTGTAAGTTCGAGCCCCACGTTGGGTATGGAGATTACTTAAAATATAAAATTAAAGAGAGAGAGAGAGAGGTAAGGAAGTATTATGTATATTAAGAGCTGAAGAGTGTCTTTGAGGGACCTGCCTAGGAATACACAATTACTTCGTGAAAGGGAAAGACCAAAAATCTGGATTTGTCAAAATTCCTGACTCCTTGACCAGGACTCTCATCATACTGTGATAAGAAGGAGCTCCTTTTTAGTGGAGAAATATATATATATTTTTTACCTTCGACTCATTCCCTAAGCATTTATTCTCCTCTTCTCTATACTCTAAGCAATTTAGTAAAAGAGTATCTTGAATGAAAATGAGTTGAATATAAGAAAGAACATTTTATTTCTCCTCTAATATTCAAGATGGAATTTTAAAGATTTCTTTTTCGTGGTCAGATGTATTTTTCTGTGAAGAATATCTGTTAAATTGAGATCATGTTTCTATTCACTGCTGACATCTGGTACATATTCTCATTTATGTATTACTGTGAGTGCATTTGTCCATTGTGTTTGTCAGCCGTAGACATGGGCTTCTCCAGTGTAGTACATGAAGTTGTCAATGCAACATGTCAGGTGTCCCTTTGAAGAAAAGAGATAAGATTTTTAAACAAGTCTATCAGTTAGTCTATTTAAATGAATGTTGTCTTTTCCTATCCTCACCCAGGGAGAAGAGATTCCTATTTCATATTGTCCTGCTCAGAACTGTTTCAGAATTCCTCAAGTAGTTGGTGAGTCCTCACCAAGAATTTGGTCTCATGATTTTATTGTCGTTTTTGACCAAAAATACAATACTCCATTTGGTCAACTACCTCATCAAGCAAACGATGCTTAAAAGATTTTTGATAATTTCTAAAAAAGGAAAAGCACCCAAGTCAAATCTCCATAGAATGATGGCAGTGATGGCGTGGTGAAACTGAGGAGAGAGGACAGTGCAGAGAGAAGGAACCAGTACTTGGGTAGCTGCAGTATCCACGGCCAAGCGTGGCCCGCCGAGAAGACTCTTGACCATGTGAGTTCCCATGTCTGTGAAAAACCGTGCACCCCCATCACACCTTGTACTGTCAGTGCCTGCCACGTATTCTCAGCATGATCCAAGCACTGCAACAGATCAAAATCCTGCCTGCGCTTCATTTACCTGGAAGTCTCACTTTTAAATATTTGTGTAAAACAGTACAAGAGAAGTATGCAGTGAGTAATTGACAGGAGATGTAGGAATGGGATATTTCTTGGTCCTAGAAACTTCCCTGTTTTTCTTATGCCATCACTTGCTTCCTTACTCTCCTCACTTCCCTAGCCTGGGTCCCTTGCTCGATCCCTTCCTTACTCAGTTCCCTGGTCCCCTTGACTTTGCCCTCCCACTGGCCCCCACCCCTGCATCTCAGCTGGGAGCCCTCAGCACAGAGTCGTACTTCCTGTGGGTGGCTGACTGCTGTGCATCCTTTTTCTTGTCCTCAGCCTCTCTCCAGTTCCCCTCAGCCCCCTTCCCCAAACTTCACAACTCCTCTTAGGTCTTTCCCTTCCCCACCACCTCCCCATACCTTGTGCCTCACAGAAAAAAAATAAAATAAAATATGTAATGAAAGAAATTTTTAAAAAAGGAAAGAAGGAAAGGAAGAAAGAAAAAGAAAAAAAAAAGGCAGGAAGCAGGAAGGCTGGCAGACAGGAAGGCAGGCAGGAAGGAAGGAAGGCAAGAAGGCAGGAAGGCAGGCAGGCAGGAAGGAAGGAAGGCAGGAAGGAAGGAAGGCAGGCGGGCAACACCAGGGCCAGGGGCCATCAATCCTTTGCACTCCCATCTTCTAATCTCCTTCCTTTAGCTCTTTTTCACTTTCACTTCAAAGGAAACTGTGTCCCCTTTTTCTTTCCAAGGCTGGCCTCACCACCCCTGAACGTCCCCACCCTGCACATGCACTTTATCTGAGGTTTCTGCTCTCCTTCCAGAACTTTCTTTGTTAACTGCCTCCCTCCTATCTTCACTATCTCCCTCCTGTCTTTTACTTGCAGTTTCTAATCTTCCCTCTTCTCAAAAATAACAACTTCCTTCCCCTCTCTTTCTTTCTCAACCTTCTGCATTACTCTGTCCTTTGGATTTCACATACATATCTCCAAAGAGAAATCTCCGTTTTCCCCCTGTGCCTTCTTCATGGACTCCTTCTGCACTGACCCTGCTCCTTGACTGAACTTGGTCTCATTTATATGATCAACAAAGGAGGAGGACTGCTGGGTGTGTGTTCAGCTCCACCATTTCGTACGTGTGTGGCCTTGGACATGTTACTTCACCTTCCTGTGTCTCAGCTTCCTCACCTGTAGAATGGGGAAAATAATACTTTGGCTCCTTAATGAACATAATAATACAGTAATGATAGGATGCTAATTTGAACCAAAACTGGTAAGAATGGCACATAAGGGGGACAAAGAGAGTGACCTAATGATAGAAGAAAGTGATTCGTGCTAGACCATTTCCCTAGGATGCTTTGGAGTCCCCCATGATATGCACTAAATCCCTGTGAATCATTCTAATTCCATTTCATAGTCTACCTCTTCTTCTGATCTTTATCTGACTGTCCACCCTGCTGATGGACATGGCCTCTTTGTCTTTGGTGTCCAGGAATTTAACCTTAGTGCTTCTCACTAGGTCCAGTCTTGCCCTGCATTGCATGGTAGTTAGTGTGAACTTGCCCACCTCCAAAATGCTGCCAAATCTTCCACACTAGCGGTATGTTTTATTTAGTGTATCAGTGTGCTAGGGCTGCTATAATGAATACCACAGACCGGGTGGCTACAGAAATGTATTTTCTCACAATTCTAGAGGCCAGACATGTGAGAGCAAGCTGCTGGTGCGGGCTGGTTTTTTCAGAGGCCTCTCTCCTTGGCTTGCAGATGGCCACCTTCTTGGTGTGTCTTCACATGGTCTTCCCTCTGTACCTGTCTGTGTCCTAATCTCTTCTTTTTTTAAAGATTTTATTTATTTTGAGAGAGAGAGAGAGTGAGAGAGTGAGCGAGCATGAGCCCCTGGGGGGAGGGGCAGAGGGAGAGGGAATCTCAAGCAGACTCCACACTGAGTACGGAGCCCAAAGTGGGGCTTAATCTCACAACCCTGAGATCATGACCTGAACCGAAACCAAGAGTCGGACTGTCAACTGAGCCACCTGGGCACCCCCTTAATCTCCTCTTCTAATAAGGACACCAGACATATTAGAGTTGGGCCATCCTAATGACCTCATTTTAATTTAATTACCTCCTTAAAGGCCCTATCTCCAAATGCAGTCATTTTCTGAGATACCAGGGTTTAGGACTTCAACCATATGAATTTTGAGGGGGCCACAATTCATCCCATAACACTTATCTTTGATACCTTCAAAGGAGCTAACATGGGGCCTCTCACATTTGTGTCGGTTAAACAACTTGGGAAGAAACCAGGGAAGGGGACACAAGGCAGGATGCAGAGAAAAACAATCCTCAGAACCTGTTTCTGATAGCATCTTGGGGAAATGGTGGAGAAAGCAAGGAAGGTTAGTCATCGCCTCTAATGTTTTCCTTTCAATAACATGTCCTCACACCCCAGAATTATGTCACTAGAGTTGGGTTTCATTCTCCTTGCAAAATGATACCCCTGGGAAGGATGACATAATAGAACTACGAATTGGAGCAAGATAAATTCTACTTTTGTTACTCATGACTATGAAACCTTTGGGGCCTGGCACGTATAAAAACATGTTGGCTATTTTTGGTTTTATTATTATTATTATTATTATTACTATAATCATCATCGACTCTAAACTCTATGAAGACAGGGATACTTGGTATCCTGTCCATGGCTATACTCCCTGGCCTCAGGTTGTGCTTAGCAAAAAGTAGAATCTCAATATATTTGTTCAATAAATAAAGATAGTAAACCTCAGAGGCTCTCTTTTCTCATCTCTGGAAAGAACTAGTATTTACTGAGGACTCACTATGTTTCACATGGATTATGACATTTTCCACCTCACACCAATCATTTGAGGCAAGTACTGTTTTTATATGAATGGAGACATAGAGAGCTCAGTAACTGGTCAAGATCACACAGCTAACCAACAGCAGAGCTCAGATTCTGTTAGACTGAACCTGAAGTACCAATCAATGTGCTCTCGTGCCTTCCTTGTGTCCATAAAGAGGGGGGAGAAACAGCAACTTGACAGGCTCGTTGGGACGATTAACTGGAATTTGTAAAGTGCCTAGTATGTAGTAGGTGCTCGATAAATATCACACCCTGCCACCTTACTCCATTTATCTAGCTGTCCAGGCAGAATCTGTCTTCTAACAAACAACTCCTTCCAGATCCTCCATTGGCCCAAAGACCCTGTAGCCACTGCCCCCCTTCTCCACTTCCGTTCATGGCAGAACTACTCTGGACACAAGAGAGGTCTGTACCTTGTGTTCTCACCACCCATGTTGTCTTGAATCCACTCAAGTCAGGCAGGAGTCTCTCCTCTCTTCTGAAACTGTTCTTAGCAAGATGACCAAATACATCCGATGAACGAGTCCAACATCCTCTTCTCTGTATCACTTTCCCAGCCTCTTAACATCATTCAACAGAGCTAATGACTCTCCTTAAAACACCCTTTTCTCAGAGCTTCCTGGCTTTTGTTTCAGTCCCCTGGATGCTCCTTCTTGGTCCCCTTTGCTGGCTTACTCACCTCTATTCTGCATCTCAATATGGACATATCCCAGGCTGAAACTTCCTTCTTTATCTGCCTTCTCTGTCCAGGAAATCATGTCCAGAGACATGACTTAAAAGCCATCTGTATGTGGATGGTTCCAAATTTCTGACTCCAGCCTTGACTTCTCCCTGGAGTTTCAGATTCATGGATCCAACTTCCCATACAACATCGCCACTTGCAATTCTAATGGGCATCTCTAACTCAGCGTGCACGCTGTCCTCGGTACTGCATTCCCTTCCCTTTCTCCACCCAGACATTTCACATTCTTCCCCACATAAGTGATGGTCCCATCCGATGTTCAGGATAAAAATCTAGGAGTCATCCTTAATTTCTTATTTTCTCTTTTCCTACTTTGAATCCATCATCAAGTTCCGTGGAAGGCTTTACCTCCAAAATGTAGATCAAACCCATCTATCTCAAATCCCTTTGGAATTAAAATGGAATTTTGACATGACTTACAAGGCTCTTTGTGGTCTAGCTCTTGCCCTCCTCTAAGACCTCCAGTATGGCCACAACCCCTCCTTGTTGTGATGCTTTGGAAACACTGAAATCCAGTCCTTGAACACAACAGACTCATTTCTGTCTCAGGGCCTTTGCACTTGCTATTCCTTTTGAATGGATTTCTTTCTCTCAGATCTTCACATGACTGTCTCCTTCTTATCATTCAGGTCTCAACTAACATATCATCTTCGCAGAGAAGATTTCTAGGAGCACCTTACTTAAAAATATCTTCCCACTCACAATTCATGTCCCTCTATTAGTTAGGAAAGTGGCTACGAATATGAATAAACCTGGTAAAGGCCTGAACTGATAGATCTTTGTCTCACATATTAAGATATCCAGGGTAGTTAGGTCAAGGCTGTTCAAGGCTCAATGATGCCATCAGGAACTCTGGCTCTTTCTCACGTTCTACTCTGCCACCCTTAACATCTTGACTTTCTTCCTTGTGATTTCACTTCAAGGTTGCAAGACAGCTGCTGCACCTCTGGGCATTATGTCTGTGTCCCAAACAAGGAGAAGGGAGAGTCCAAAGAATCAGAGTCTTTTCTTACATGGCTCTGCATTTTATTGGACAGGCAAGGCCTCCTCAGTGTGTTCAACCTGGCATCATGGACTTGGGTCACACAATCCCCAGGAGTAAGGGATGTTGGAGACACAAGTATTTTATCTTCCCAGCATGCATACTAGAGAATGCAAGGCAGAAGGGGGATGTAAATGATTTGGGGTAGCTAATCCCAATCACCTTTTATGCCATACTGTCCTGTTTACTTTTTTAATAGAACTTATGATTATTTGAAGTTCCCTTGTTATTTTTCTGTTTCCTTACTCATGGTGTACTCTTATCTAGAGTAAGCCACACAAGACTGGTGACCTTGTATCTTTAGTTTAGGACCGTGACTAGAAGTGACTCTAGTACACAGTAGGCAGTCAATAACTAGTGGTTGATTATTGAATATGCCATAAAAAAATAGCTAAAATTTGCCTCTGTTACAAGTAGATTTCTATTATGCATAAAACACAAAGCACTAGATAACTGAAGTTTAATTATAAGTGTCCCATGGAAATTGACTGGCATGCTGTTGAGACACTGCTGAGTGAACAGTCCTGATCTGAGGAGTAACAGTGGGTCTGTTCACAGCAGCTGCATGGATAGTATTGATGGTATCTTCCATTAGGTCCACACTCACTCTCAAAGCTGTCTTTGTGATAGCTTAACTGGCAGAATGTCCATGGGTTAGAGAGAAGGTAAGTGTCCTCCCACAGGATCCAGCCACTGGTCATGTCATGTGGATTTGTGATGAGTCACTGAGCTTCCTGGCCACACACAAGCTCCAAATATTATATAAAGTATGAATGACATATACACAGGCCTGGTCAGGCCCAAGGTAGGTTTCTACACCTGCCCAAGTTTCTATTTAAAAGAAGAGATTTAGTGGTGGCTCTCAAGTTCAAGGTTGAACATCGTCACTGGAGTCTAGGTGTGCCTGGTAATGGCTGATGGGCTAACCAAGTGGTCCCTTTCTTAGGGGGCACTGAATAGCCTCCTGGGAATCCCTTACCCTAAAGAAGAGTTGGGCTTACAAGTTCAGCCCAATACCAAAGTCTCAAAGCTCTGCAGAGAGAAGAGATACTGAATACTGCCCCTTGCCTTCAGGTGAGCTCTTCATGGATTCATGTCTGAATCCAGGGGAAATAAGGAGCTGTAGGAAGATATGGGAATAAAAATTTTTTTTTTACAAATCCTCCAACTATACAGCACAAAGCTACATTGCTTTGGTGTGTATGTAAAAGAGGTTAACCAGGGGAAGAAGAGGTGTTCCTTCCCCTTCTTCATGGCTCACAGCCAGGCCCTGGTGCATGGAGGACACCAGAGAACACAGACCCCCCCCCCCCCCCAGCTTGTTGAGGTGTCTAATGTGGTGGCCACACCTACAGCGACTTATTCCTAAGCACACTAAAGACAACTTCAAGAATGCTCAGAAACAAGCAGGAGAGAGTCGGTGGGGATAGAGATATTGCAATGGTGGGTAGGAGTGAGCTATCTGTTTCATTATTCGTGAGAAGAACTCATTTTATTTTATTTTATTGTGTATTTCATTTTATTTTGTTTCAGAAACTCACTTTAAATGTTAGTCCCAGCCCCCACTTCAGCCTAACAAAGCCCTGGGAAAATGGGCCTCATACATTTATTGAACCAATATTGACTGCCAGGTACTGTACTAGACATTGAAGAGCAAGGAAACAAAATAGATCAAGTCCCTGCTTTCATAGAGCGTATTTCCTTGTAGAGGGAGAGATGGAGATGGAACTGATGGAAGGGCTAAATGTTGGATATAAAAAGAAAGATTAATTTAGAATATTGGACTGGACTCAAAAGAGAAGTTTAGGGAAAATTACTCTTAGGGGGAAGACACCAACTATTCTCCATCTCCACCTCCAGCAGGTCATAACCAGCATCACCACGAGCCAAAACAGACCTCCAGGGGCCAACCCTTTTTATCCCTTTCCTATGCACCAAAAGTCCCATTGCCTTCCTCACACAAGTGACAGCCTGGCCTTGGGATTTATGAGCGTGACATCTCTGTGGCGGGGCTGTAAGCGCCTGCGCCCCGGCTTCCGGAGAGCCTCATGCAAGGGTGAGCTCATTGCGGGGGCTTGAAAACTCTCTGTTGACCGTGTGACAGAGTGAATGAATGAAGGGGAGTCACGTTGCAACAGGTGAGCTTTAGGTCAGACATAAATGCTTCTTGTCAGGCTCATGAAATGCTCAAACAGCTGTGGGGGGAGCGTGTGGTTTGCACCATGTCAGGCTTCAGCTCAGGGAGGATTAACCCATTGGCTGCAGCAAAGTTACTGCAAGTGGATCTGTTTCATCCACAGCACATGCCGGAGGCTGGAGGGTCAGTCCAGCTATGGCCACAGAGGGCCCTTGCAAATATGTAGAGTTCTAGAAGTCTAAAAACAGTGGGAGCCACAATGCGTGGGACTCATGAATCTCAGGCCAAATCCTAAAAACATTCTACCATTTGCTGCCTTGACCAGAAAAAGAAAAAAAATGTGTGAGTGTGTGTGTATGTGTGTGTAATAAGTTTGTTAAGTTCTGCACAATGTCTTAGAATCACCTCTTTTT